TAAAGATTGTCACCCAAAAAGAAGCAGAAGTGACAAACTTTGTGCGCTGTGGTTTGCCGCAATTTACTGGGTGACAATTGTGGCAGAACCGCACTGTGTTGCAAATCAATGGCAACCGAACATGCGTGGTGTTTTGCCGCGACTGTAGTGCGATTTGAAATTGTGGGCCAAATCACAGCGATTCTGCCAGAGATCTCAAAATGCCATTTGGAAACGGGGCCTAACTCTGCAAATTTCTCAGCGTGTAAAACTCCACAACTTTGCATGCTATAGGTTTACAACACTTCTCTCAGTTAGGACAGGTTCAAATACACTTTACTGATATGAATCCGTCGCAAGTCCTGCCGTTTGTCGCCATTTTTAAAAAGTAACACCACTTTCTTGTGTGAGTGTGTTTGTGTGTGTGTGTGTGAGAGTGGGGTGTGTGTGTTGTGTGAGAGTGGTGTGGTGGGTGGGGGGGGGTGTGGGTGTGGTGGGGGGGGTGGTGTGAGGGGGGTGGGGGGGGGTGTGTGTGTGTGTGTGTGTGTGGGGTGTGTGTGTGTGGGTGTGTGTGTGTGTGTGAGGGTTGTGTGTGTGTGTGTGTGTTCTTTATTTGGGCAAAAATGAAGTTTTTTAGCTGAAAGCTTAGTTAGTCAGACACATACCCCTTGTCACGCTTTCCTTGGCTATTTAAAGAGGCAAATCAACCAGTGAAAATATAGTGCATTTCAAATATGAATCAGTGAAGTGTGATTTGAGCCCATTCATTTGGAATGGCCTCAAATCGCACAAACGTAGTGCATGAACTACTTTTTGAACTGCACTACAACCGGATCTTTTGTAGTTTGGTAACACGCGGTCTAGTTCAGGCAAACGCACTGCATTTGTGAAGTCGTTAACATTGCACTGACACCTGCTGCAGATTGCAAGTGCAGTGCAATTTGAGCACGGTGCAAATCGTGGGTTTCCCACACTGCGTTCTAGCGTGAACAAGGGCGTAGAGAGCACAGTATTCCCTGCAACATGAATGCTATGGAAATGCCCTGTATTTAATGGTTTACTTGTAAAATATGATTACAAAAGGAAAATAGAGTGGAAATTTTTGAAAAAACAACTTGTTCAGGGAACAAATTGGGGTCCCAATCTACTTGTCCCAATAAAAAAAAATCAATTCTAACCACAACCGTATTTAAATCGGAGGTGATTTTAGGAATTTCGGGGGCTTTTAAAAACAAAAAAAGGGGCTTTATGATGACTTTAAAAAATCATTTTAGACCTGAAGATTATTACATAAAAACCAAAATCATGATGATATATTTTCTGAAAAAAGAGGCCCTAGAGAATAAAAAATAGTGGTAGTTTATTTTATGTTGCATGATATTACTGTAAAATGTCAGTTTTACAGCACAAAAAAAAAAAAAAGCAACAAATCACCCTATTTTTGGTCAATAAGACCCCACATCTCTCTTCTACAATGTAAAGCATTAAATCAAAAAAAGCATTGATCTAGTGCTTAAAAAAAAAAAAAAAAAAAAAAAAAGGGTCTTGTTTACAAGGCGCCGCAAGCGGAGGTGACATTGCTCCTGTACTCCAACGGCATAGAGATGAGTGGAGGCCCTCTTTCCTTCACTAATCTCTATGCCCAGTGCCAGGATCATTCGATGGTTTCTCAGGTAAGGCTGAGAACTAACGAGCGACGGCCGGTGGGCGGCAGCAGAGAGTTTTTTTCAGCACCTATATCGATGCTTTTTTCCATATCGGCCGATAGGTGTGTTTTCAGCTGAAACGTTTCGGCCACCGAAATTTCGGTGCACCCCTAATTAAAAATAGTCCAAACTAAACCAAAATAACCTGCATTATGCAACACAAATAAAGTGCCTGAAAAACAGTCCATTCAGTAAAATACTTGATGTAAATGTGTCCAAGTGGAAACTTTGACAAGAGCCAGTCCACATACAAGTGTGTAAGCTGTAAATTCCTCCACCACAAATATGCAGCCTTTTACTGAATCCTCTGATCTCAACATGAAATAGATCAATATACGCTTGTGTGTGTACATCCAAACACAGGATACGCTGTAATCCACCATGCGGTTTCTGTGACCACGATGTCAAAAGATGAAGCAAAGTTCTCTCCAACAGCACCTTGAAATGTCCCTCCAAAGAAAACCAAGGTAGCCATGATAGTGTTATACCATAAAATAATCGCTTTATTAAAATAGACAAATGCTTACAAGATCAAAAAGGAACGTAGACATAAATCAGAGCAAATGGCCAGAATGGGAATCCCAACATACATGTGATGTCACTGGCTAGGCCCTCCCTATGTGTTTCATAACCAATCAGCATAGTCAGGGGTATGGAACTCCAGCTATCATGCTCCATACCGCTGACAATGCTGATTGGTGGTGAAACATGTTGGGAGGGGCCAAGCTGGACAGGGTTTACATGCAAGAAACCTAGCTCTGCCAACTCTGTATTCAGCTCAGGCCCTTTCCTCTGGTGAGATCACCTCCTCCCCAGTGCAGGTTATTATCAGATATTGCAGCACAGGCATTTTCCTTCACGTTTGTGGATATATGCATTTTCACTCTGTATATACTTGCTTGCCTTGAGTTCCCTTTAACATTCTTTGCAGTTTTTAAGAAATGAAATCAAGCCCAGCCAAATCAAAAATTGTGTGCTTTAACCACTTCAAGTCTGGACACTTTTACCCCCTTCCTGTCCAGGCCAATTTTCCGCTTTCAGCGCTATCACACTTTGAATGACAATTGCACGGTCATGCAACACTGTACCCATATGCATTTTTTAGCATTTTGTGAGACAGATAAAGCTTTATTTGGTGGTATTTATTCACCACTGGGATTTTTATTTTTTTCCCTATATAAATGAAAAAAGTCCAAAAAATTTTTTTAAAAAGTGTTTTTCTTATAAAATTTTGCCATTAAATAATCTTTTATAAATCTTGGCCAAAATTTATTCAGTTATCTTTTTAGTAAAATAAAAAAAAAAAAATGAAAAATTAGTTTATAACCAAAATTATAATTTTTACATTTCTTTTTTACATTTTTATCTTTTTTTATATATAATTATTTTTATTTTTTTTTTACATACCGTCACCCTAGCAGTACATTGTCACCATGGTGACACTGTACTACTTGTGGGGGGTTATGAAGATTTTTTTTTTTTATTTTTAACACCGATTTTTTTTTTTTTTTTTTTTGCCCATAAAGGCTGTAAAGGCAAGAATTTCTCATTCTCTCTGGCTGCATTCTTGCAGCCATTGAGAAATACTGTGTGAACTGTGATTGGTCACAGCTTGTCACATGGTACAAGGGCTGTTGTGAATAGCCTTGCACCATGTGACCTCTGTGATCATTCACAGATTTCATACGTAGTCAGCAATGATGTCAGAAGTGACATCTTGCTCACTACTCATGTGATCACTTATTGGCCAATCAGCGATCACATGATCGGGACCTCGCACAGAGGTCCCGTACAACGATCAGTGTTCCAGTGTGTCCGGAGGACACAGCGGGCACTGGATCGCGGTGCTGCGCGCTCCCAGTGAGCGCGCACAAGCAGGGGGTGGGGAGGCCGTTTATAAACAGCCACCCGTCCCTGCACTGCCACCGTCCGGCCATTTATATACATGGGCCGGACGGGAAATGGTTAATGTGAACTTGAGAAAATAGCAACATGGCACCTGCCACTGCTGAGTTGATTGTAAACAGATAGATCCTGAACCTGGTTTCACTTTGTATTATGTTCAGATTTTTCATACTTCACTGACTGCCTACTTGTTCCAGGTCAATGGATTCACTAGGTAGTGAAACCAGAAGCAAGCTGAAGAGCTAAATAAAATAATAAAAAAAAAATAAAGTCCCCTTGCAGGTTATTGTCTTAATGTGCTAGTACACACTGCATGCTAGCACGTTATGACAAATTAACCTGTAAAGCAGATCCCTCCAGCAGCGACAGACTTCCATCATCACCCATTCTTCCTTGCGGGCTCACATGCTCCTGCTTTTTGAATGGTCTGGCTGCGATGACATCACTCTTGTGCATGCACACGGGAGTTACAGTCATAGCACAGCACTCTGAATGGAATGCAGACACACGAGTGTGTGCCGTCCATTCAGAAAGCAGTGCACATGCGCTTGTGGTGTCACCGGTTGCTACAAATGCTAATATCTTCTAAATGGTGCACAATTGGGAGATATTCACTCTACCTACAGGTAAGACTTGTTATAGACAAGAGAAAAAGTGGACTTAACTACCACTTTAATCTGGCAGGCTCACTTTATGTCTGTAAGGAAATTTCCAGGAGCCCTGGCTGCTGGGGTGAAGTTTGCTCCTAAGAAAGCAACTCAGGAGCCTTTAAGCCGGTATTAAAGTGCCCCCCCCCTAAAAAAAAAAGAAGCCCCCCTACAGGTTTGTTCTCTGCATAAATACTAGCACATTATGACAGACTTGCCTGTCAAACAAGGCCCTCCAGCGCTGCGCTGTCACTGCTCCCATTGGTTCCCGCACTCCCATCTTCACCCGGTCTTCCTTTTGGGGTCTCTTTGGCCACTTGAACAGCCAGGCTGCAAGAACACTAGGGTCTCTTCTGTTATAAAATCCCTGCCTGTCAGCGGTTTTTCAAATATTGACTTTGATACCATTTTAAGATATGCATGCTTAAAACGCAGCACATAAATGGCTTGGAGAATCCACGTGAGATGTTCTCAGGTAAAGCATCTCTGGAGATACCTTTTAATGATTCCTCTTCTCTGCCTCTGTGCTTTTATCTCATGTACAAATGCTTTCAGATGCTGTTCTATATAGAAATGTTCACTTTATGGTTTTAGGCATTAAAAGGCATGTGTTTTATATCACAAAAGATGCACTTATCCTTTATGGAATTTGAATATAAAAACTGTGGTATTTTAAAGCTGTCAGAAATGGATCTATTGTAATTGGTTGTCCTCCAAGTTCTATATAATTCATAACAACCTTAAATTATCTCAAAACGCTTACCACAGGGGTGAGGGCCATCTGACAGCTGTAGATTCGTGCAAGGCCAAAATCTGCTAGTTTGACCTGTCCACAGCTGGTCACTAAAATGTTTTCTGGTTTAAGATCACGATGCACAATACAGTTCAAATGAAGGAATTCAAGGCCGGAGAGGAACTGTCTCATTAGATCCTGCCAAAACAAAAGAGTACCATTAGTAAAATGCATCTTCAGTATAAACACACACTAAAACAAACTGAAGAGTATTAGGATGAATTCACATATGTGAATGCACCCGCTCCATGATTACCTGTGAGAACTCCAGCGGGGGTTCCAGTGATTGGCTGTGAGAGGCAGTCACATTGATAGATACAGGCTGCCTGCATCCAGGGCCGATCACTGGCATGTAATCACTGCACGAGTATTTACATGCGAATGGGAGCAAGCAGCCTCCCATTGCTTTCAATTGGGCTGCCTCTCACAGCTAACCCCAGGTACCCCCACTGGGGTTCCCACATGCAATTGTTGCGTGAGCGATTACAAGTGAGTGGCTGTGACCAAGCTTGCAGCCTCCCATTGCTTTCAATGGGGAAGCCTGTTGAAGCTAATCACAAGAACCCTCGCTGGGGTTCTCGCATGTACTCGCCAAGCGAATGTATTCAAGTGTTAATGCACCCTAAATAAGGACTTCTCTATTCTAATATCAATTTTCAGAAATGTCTCGTACTTCAGGCAAGCTTGTGGGAGTTGGCTGAACATTTGAACACAGCAAAGGTCATCTCTTACCATTTTCAACAGGATAGAAGTTTATACTTTTCAGAGCTGCTAAACTAATCCGAAGGAGGCAGTGAATATCAACGCTGCCACGGCCAGCCCACAGTTTAAATATTTTTTTCTTGTTCACACCAGGTGCGTTGAGTTGAATAACCTACATCGATCAACATAGTTTCAACGCAAGGGCACAAGAATTGTTTTCTAGGTGGCCTACATGTACACTGGTTTGCGATTTATAAAAATACTACATTTGTACACAGAGAAATGCACTGTGATGCATAAAGATGAATGAGGTGTGATTTTATTGTCACTTTCAATAAAACTGAAAAATGTTTTTTTTGTTTTTTTTTTCTGCACAGCTCTTTCCATTGGCAAGATTCAACAGTTTTGTTTTTCACTTATATTGTTGTTTAGTTGTCCTTGTTTTTTCCCCAATCACATAAAATCATCCCGCTTTAAGTATTTACAGCCCAGCAGAGCTCCTTCAGCCCAAGTAGTAAAAGTTCCTGATGCCGCCTGAAGATTTTATTAAACCCTTTGGAAGAGCACATCTGCCATGTACAGTACACTGCCAAACAGAGACCAATACCCATGTCTGTATAGGACACTTGTCTACAGACACTTATGCCAATATTGCTGAGCAAACTGAAAACCAAGATAATGAAGGCAAAACTGCATCCGACTTCCAGCAAAGACCACATGATTACTGTTACTTCCTTTTTTTTCTTGCTTTAGACAGAGTTGGAATGGTTAACACTTCTGTCAGACATTTATCACTGTCTGGGTCCCTTTTCTTAGGAAGAAATACCTTCACTTCCTTCCCCAGTTACAACCATCCCCACAGCAGAGATACAAGAAACAGTAAAACTTTACCGAGGATCTAAACTCTCCATACCAAAGTGTTTTTACGGTCTGGTCCACATTAGGCTGCTTTCACACTGAGGAGTTTTTGAAGCATTTTTGCATTAAAAAAAAAAGTGCCTGAAAAGCTCAAGAAAAATGCTTCCCTATGTATGTGAATGTATATCTATGCATTGTGCTTGTGGTGTAAACTCCTGCTTGCAGCATCTTTGGAAAACACACACCTTTGAAATCAATGGAAAACGCCTGAAAAGTGCCTCAAAAATGCCTCTGGTAAGCGTTTTTGGAGCAGTCTTTAAGTCACGTGTCCTTTAAAAATGCTCAGAAAAGCCCGGCAAAATGCATTTTGCAGCACTGAAAAGTAACCTAAGAGACAGATCTGCCTTCAGTTCTCATCAGTAAGACCACTGTCAACAAACAGGAAGGTAAAACCTTTCAAATACTGACAAAGAAAATAAAAACCTCACAGGAGTTCAAACCCTTCCCTGTTCTAGCTAAAATTGGAAATACTCAGTTTCAAACACCCATTGAAAGCCTAAGTCTAATCAAAAAACGGGACTTGAAAAATATCAGCACGCGTAAAACTACTTAAAAGCGGAGTTCCACTCACCCTGTCAAAAAAAATAAAAGTAAGCAGCTACAAAAACTGTAGCTGCTGACTTTTAAAAAACAGTCACTTACCTGTCCCTCGGCATGTCCCCCGCAGCCCGTTTCACCAACCGTCCTGTATACCAGGAGGCTGGCATCTTCAGTGTGGGCACCGGGCTGTGATAGCTTGAGGCTTCACAGCCGGGTACCCACTGTGCATGCGCGAGTAGCCCTGAGCTTCATGAATGGTCCTGTAGTCTTCTGGGACCGGTCACATGTCCCAGGAGACTACAGGGAGGGAGGGAGGACACCTTCCGCTGCCAGTCGAATAGGCGATCGGACCAAAAGTGGGAGCGGGTACCTGTCAAATTCAGGTACCCGCTCCCCCCCCAAAGGTGCCAATTCTTAATGGGGAGCAGTCCTTAAAGCAGAACTTCCCTTTTTGGGTAGCGCTCTGCTTTAAAGTCCAAGCAAAGTGTGCTTTCTATTAATGGAAGAGGAGGAAGAATGGGCAGCCTAGTTAACACTCTTGAAGAGTGCATATGACAGGTCCCTGAGCTTTAATAACCCCAGTGGCACTGGAAAATTGGAGGATCGAAGAATTCAACTAATTATGCAGTCATCAGCACAAGGGACTCATTGCATTGCCTGTAACTAATGTCCCTTGTGCTGACTTTTTAAAACCTTTTTTGACTCAACGTAGGCTTTAACTTCTATATCTTGGTTAAAGTGTACGAAAAATCCTAACAAACCCCTTATTTGCCCCCATTTGGTCTAGTAAACCTTCTGTGCTGTCTGCCCGAGCACAAGGAGGATTAGGGGATCCATCAGCAAAAGTGGGAAGGGCTAACACCGAGTGTTTAAAAGTTCAAAGCTGAAAATTACACTAGGGGGAATTACCCAAGCTTCCTAGACCATAATAATGGCACAGAAAACTGGCACTAATGAACAAAGCAGACGTAAACTGGCATGCATGGAACAGATAAACTTGAAACAGGTCTATTTTAGCGTAGAATAAAAACTGGTGCGGTTTCCACACCTTTCAGTGAAGAAAACTGCCAAAGATCTACACCAGGTAGGGTCTGCCTACAGAATTTCAGCTTTCTGTAGATCACATGCAGTTGGGTGAGGTTGTTGTGGGCAGATTGACCTGAAGCATGCAGCTCCAGCTAAAGTGCTTTCTGTGCCATGTCTGGTACAGACACCGCAAAAACCGTGAAGCAAATCACTCCTAAATAATAAAGGGGCTTGTGCTTCTTCTGTTAGGCTACATACACACTAGCCTTGTTAGCAAGCGGCAGACAGGTGTTTGGGAAGCGTTTTTTACCGTTTCCCAAATGCCTGGGAAAATTCTGCACATTGCAGCACATAGTGCTGTTCAAACAGGAGCGTTAGCATCGCGGTAAAACGGACGCCTCTGGTCGAGTCAGGAGGAGTTGAAGCCTCCTATTCAAGTCTATGGTGCCGCCCCGCAAACGCCTGGCCGGCGTTTGTGGTGCGGTTGCGAGGCGTTTGCGGAGCGGTAACACCATTCAAACTTCATTATAGGCTTTTGTGGGGTGTTTTTAACGCTTGGCAAATGCCTAGCAACCTCCGCTAAACCGAGCATGCAGCGTTTGCGGAGCGTTAAAAATGCTCCGCAAACACTGGACCAACGTTTGTCAAACGCTATAGGGGCGCTTGGCAAGAGTTGGAAAAACAGTCAAGTGTGAACAAGCCCTTAATCAGACGCAAGATCTGTGGAGTTTCCTTAGCTTAGAGAGTAATGCAGGCAAAGCCTGTGCCACTCTTTTCTAATTATCCCCAGTGTGTTATTCCAAACAGGAAGATAGGCACACACTATATTTAAAAGGAGCAGTATGGACAAAGCTGTTTTGGCCACACTTCTTCAGTGGGTCACAGGAGTGCCCTTTGTTTTGCGCTCCTGTGACCCAAACGCAGCCAACAGCAGGCTAAAGGAATCCCAACAATAACATCGGGGATCTGTCCAGATACCTGACTGGCAGCTAACTCAGCCTCTCAGTGTGTCACTGGGAGATTGATTCAGCCAATCCCATCGCTACCACAGTCTGGTGCTCCAGTGAGCGCTATAGGGGCAGAGCACAGAGCCAGTTACTGGCAGTCACCATTTAGAATGGATGCGAGAACTAAGTGATCAGCGGTCTTTGATCGCTCAGTTCTTTTTGAAGAGCCAGCAGCGGATTAGTCCTGCATCCACCTAGGCGAGTATGAATGTTTTCCCCCACTTAAGGCAGATCAAAAGTTATTTTTCTGCACTTGCACATTTCCCCATGTTTTATTACTTAATCTCGCTGCAAGTATTCCAGAGATGTTCGAAATATGTATTTTTTTAAAATTTGCTATGACATGTCAAGGAATAAATATTTACTTACATTTCCTTCACTGCATAGGAATAATTACACCTGGGTTTATACAGCACCTTATTTTTGTTTTTTTTATTAAAAGCAACAAACCAAAAAGGGATTATTATAAAACCTAGAGAAAATAAATATGTTTTGGCCATGGCAACCTCTCTGCATAGCAAAGGAATGATTGTGGCAGTTTGCAAGAAGATTTTTGTAGCGGTCATCTCACAGGGATTTTCCAAGTACCTCCGGCAGCCAGAGGCGCTCATTATCATCCACTATGGCCACACTTCCAAATGAGGCCCAGCATGTAACAAAATATCCATTGCTCTCAAAGCACATCGAGCTTTTTATAGGTCCTTGCTTTCATCACAAAGAAAAAATTTAACAACACGACTATGTAAATCAAGTGCTGTAGAACTGTGATAAACATGATTAGCATAGCTATACTATCATTTATATAACATTCCAATTACCCCATTCCTACTTCTTCAAAGACCCAAATGTAATAAATGTTTGAGAATATTAATTCAGCTGCTGCGCAAACACCATACAGCTGATGTGCAGCTGCTCGGATTCATCTGCTAATGAGTCCCAGTCATTGTTCTAATGAAAATTCAATCAAGGGGAAAGAGACAGATATAGGTTTAATGAACACATTCTGCAACTTCCAGGTCACCAAATCTATCGAATGTTTCATCGTCATTTAAATAAAAGCAAAGCAAAGCAAATCTAAGGACTCCTAATACAAGCAGGAATGTATACATCAATAAATACACACACAGTAGCATTCTATATACACACAAGGCCTACATATACATACATACAAAGAGTCATTGAACATGCTGCCAGATTCCTTATTCCAGATTTCCTTTTTTACATGAGCTACTATAATGATTTTTGAAGAAGAAATTTTTCTTCTTTTTTTAATAGGGAAACTCAAGTTCAATGAAAAGGCCTTTCTATACTGTATTCTATAAACAGAAAAGGCTTGTGTTTTGCAGGACATTTAAGGGAATAGGATGCATTTTTAATCATAATAGGCCAATTTTCATAATCCTAAAACAGGGATTCTTAACCTTTAATTCTTACAGACCCTCCCAACTCATTTCCCAATATACCCCCATAACTCCACCATCTGAGTCTAAATCACGTCCAGGGCGTCAAAACAAGGAGGAGAGGAGAGTAGACGAGGTTGATTGACAAGAGGCAGAGCTTTACTCATTCACCCACCGCTCTCCTCCTGCTGTGCGGCAGTTGAAGACAATAGAGTTCAATAGGTTTCTAATAGCCCTGCATTGTAGGTCCACAGCAGGGCCCCTGCCACCAACCAGACAAGAGAGGGAACCCAGGTGGAAATGAGAGCGGCCACCAATACAGATTGAGCCTCGCTCGCTTGTCACCAACCCCCCACCACGTGGCCCGACCCCAACAGGCCACCACCAGTCCACGGCCCAAGGGCTGGTGGGGGGACCCAATCTAGGGGATTAAAATGCAGGAGGGGTGGAACCTGCCGTGTTCCAATGAGTGGTCTCTGAATAACACTTCAGAGCACACAACACTTTTGGTGCAGAGGCCAATCACTAGAAGGCCACATTATTATACAGCCTTTATATAGTGCCATCAGTTTGTGCAGCGCTTTACAAAATGAAGGCAGGTGTTACAGTTAGAATACAATTTGGTACAAAAGGAAACAGAGGGTCCTGCTCATTAGCGCTTACAATCTAAGAGGGAGGGTCAAGTGATAGAAAAAGGTAGTAGCTGAAGGGGATGAGCTGATGGAAAAAGTAGAAAAACACAGTATTAGTCAGAAGCAGGATAGGCTTCTTTAAAAGAGAAGGGTTTTCAGGGATAGTCTAAAGGTGGATAGATTAGGAGAATCTTGGGAGAAGTCCTGGAGGCGAGCATAGGAGGAGGTGACATGGGAACTAGAGAGAGCAGGAGGTCTTGGGAGGACCAAAGAGACCTGTTTGGTTGATATTTTGAGAGCAGGTTAGTGATGTAGCTGGGGGAAGAGGTGTGGATGGCTTTGTAGATTGTTGTTAATACTTTGAATTTTATACAAGCGGAGGGATTGTCAGAGAGGGGGGGAAGCAGACATTAAATGGTTGGTAAGGTGGATGAGTCTGGCATCAGCATTCGTGATGAACTGAAGGGGGGATAGCCTATGTAATCCAATGAGGCGGGAGTTGCAGTAGTTGAGGCGAGAGATAACCTGGGAATGAATTTGGAGCTTTGTGGTATCATTGGTTAAAAAGGGGCGTATTCTGGAGATGTTGCTGTGGTTGTGGCAGCATGATTTGGACAGGGATTGCATGAGGGCCTGAAAGGAAAGCTCATAATCCAGGTTTACCCCTAGCATGCGGGGACCGGTTGATGTTTGTGTCATTGATCTTGACAGAGAAATCAGGGAAAGAGGCACGTGGGGGAGGGAATACTAGGAGTTTTGGATAGACGGAGTTTGAGAAAGTGGTGACATCCAGTCCGATATGTAGGTTAGTAAATCAGTGATACGTAAGGAAACGAATGGGTTGAGCTGAGGGATAGAGAGATGGATTTGTGTGTCATACGCATAGAAACAGTATTGAAAATACCTCAGCTGGCCTTGGTTCTCCCTACACAAGTTACACCCACCCTGTACAAATTGGGCTTCACCCACTCCAAGATTCTGAAGCAGTAAACATATTTGTAAAGTATACTGCTTTACTTTGGCCACCCACAGCTTCATAACTAGACCTCCTAGTGTAGAAGGAAAGGAGTAGGAACAATGTCAGCTACATGGTTACACACACACACTTTTTCAGGAAGATCTGCACAGAAACACAATATCTGTCTATAGCAGGCAGATGTAAACAGACGTGCATTCGTCTACATCCGAATACATCTAGGTCTGGATTAAAAAAAAAAAAAAAAAAAAAAAATGTTTGCATTCCTTTGCCATAGAACTAACATAGGTCAATTAAGCTCCATTTTCAAAGAAAATTTCACGGATACGAATTCCACAAAAGTGACATCTATTCTGTTCTACTCATATCCAACAGGGGATCTGTTCATGGATTCTCTGCTGATCATAATGGATGCTACCTGTGTGAAGGGACCCTAAAAGTAATTACAAAACAGCATGGAACTTTGTAGCTTCAAGTGCTTCAATTATTCCTCTCTAAGAGGAAATGTAATTTTGTGCAGTGTTGACATGCATTACCACACACAAAAGTAAGAAAATGATAGCTTTGCCTGGAGGTCTTATTTAGCGCAACTCTTTCCATCATAAATGAACTACGTTGTTGCAAGAGAAGCTAGAAAGTACCGTATCTTGTAGTTACTTATACTTTACTAAGCCAATATTTCCAGCCAAGTACTACTACTACTACAATATTCTCAGTTATGTTTTCATTCATTTTAAAATGGTGCAAGTCTGCAACTGAAAAAAAAAACCCTAAGCTGAACACCCCTAAATTTGAATCCTCCCTAATTACCCCAAGGTTTTTTTTTTATAAATGTTATTTTGTTAAAACTATATGACTGTAATCCTCTCTGGTTGTAAAGGCTCAAGGTTATTTCCCTTCATGCATTGTATGCATGAAGGTAAAAAACAACCTCTGTGTAGCAGCCCCCCCCCCCCCCCCCCCAACACTTACCTGAGCTCATTATTATCCGGCAAAGTCCATGAGAGACTCGGTCCTCCAGGGACTCTCACTCCTAACTGGCTGAGGCAGCAGCAACTTTCAATCACAGCCAATGAACCAATCAAGAGAGGGAGGGGCAGGGCCAAGCAGCGACTGTGTGTGAGAATGAACACGCAGAGCTGCTTGCTATGGGGGCACCCGAAAGTAGGGAGGGGTCAGGAGCTCCGACCCAAGAAGAGGAGGATCCGGGCTGCTCTGTGAAAAATCATTGTACAGAGCAGGCAAGTATGACTTTTTTTTTTTTTTAATACATAACAAAGACTTTAGTATTCCTTTTTATGTGAACAATGTTAAAATCTCTATTTTTTTAGAACATTTCCTTATATTAAAACAAGCTTAAAAAGTAAAAAAAAAAACAGTTACCTTAACAGTCTCCAAAGGTAAACCAGGCGGAGGAACTTTATTTAAGTAAGTTTTCAGGTCCTGATCAACATGCTCAAAAACTAGGGTCACCTTAGTCTCACGATCTGTCCGGGCGGAGGCACAAACATCCATAAGCCTGTGGACATGATGAGAGAGAAATATTACAATTATAAGAACTGATCACAACGTAGGTGTTTTATACACTGGTTTCCAAGAACCTTATGTTTCCAGCATTATGTCTATTCATTCTATTACCCACCTACAGTTTCTCTGTAATATTCTACAGTTGAAACTTTTTTTATGCTACTAGCCCATATTAAAAAAAAAAAAAAAAATTATGCTTTCTTTATGGACCACTATGGGTTCAGCATTCCTGCCATTTATTAGTCTGATGTGCATGGAGGATTTCACAAAACTAAATACTCTATGGCAGTTTTTAGATGTTTATAGAATTGTCAGCCATTCCATTGAGGGTGGCAATGTCAACAGTTTGCTGTTAAAAATGCCCATTTACAACCAAGTTTAATGTAGTTCAGTGTATACATCAAGGCAAAAGAGATATCGCTGGGAAATATTTGTTAATAAAATAAAAAACAATGTATTTCAGCAATAGGAATGCAGCACCACATTCTTGCAAACTGAGCACATATTTATTAATATAAAAAGTACTAATGTACAATGAAGCATATCTGAGCAAAGACATTCGTCCTTTGGAGCAAAGGGCTTGAGAAAGTGTAGGGACACTATAAACTGTCACTCACAGATATATTTCATTGTACCTTGTTACTTTATACGTCACTAAATATTACGGGATTTTCCAAGAATCAAAGTTTTGCTGCATCTTGGTTTCTGGATTAGTTGGTTTACAAGCAATGACTGGAATATGCTTACTTGCGAGCGCACACAGAGCTTTCCTGGTAATGCTGGCTCACCCAGCTGCAATTTTTACATATATACACACTTTCGGGGGGGGATTAACAAACATTGGTGTAATGAGAAAATATACAACGATTTAGAATTTTATGTGCCAATCTTAAAAAAAAAAAAAAAAAAAAAAAAAAAAAAAAAAAAAGGGTTACACAAATGATTCATTTAGTTTGCTGCATGTAAATGACAAACACCATTTGTCCATACACATCCACCTTTCCTCTCCTCCTACAGTGCTGCTCCCCATTGTTTTTCACCAATTACACTGTTGCATGCCATTAGGCATTAATAGAAATGGTCACATATACCTTCTAAAGTGATTTTAGGTGGCTAGAGCAACAACACATATAGAACTTGGAATACATTTTTGTTTGTTGCATTGAAAATGCACCAATATTTCCATTCCCCCAAAAAAAGGGGACGCACTTCGAGAGGAGAGAGAAGAGGGGAGAGGAGAGAGAGAAGAGGGGAGAGGAGAGAGAGAAGAGGGGAGAGGAGAGAGAGAAGAGGGGAGAGGAGAGAGAGAAGAGGGGAGAGGAGAGAGAGAAGAGGGGAGAGGAGAGAGAGAAGAGGGGAGAGGAGAGAGAGATGAGGGGAGAGGAGAGAGAGATGAGGGGAGAGAGAGAGAAGAGGAGAGAGAAGAGGGGAGAGAGAGAAGAGGGGAGAGAAGAGGGGAGAGAGAGAAGAGGGGAGAGAAGAAGAGGGGAGAGAGAGAGAAGAGGGGGGAGAGAGGGGAGAGAGAGAAGAGGGGAGAGAGGGGGGAGAGAGAGAGAGAGAGGGGAGAGAGGGGAGAGAAGGGGGAGAGAGAGGAGAGGAGAGAGAAGAGGGGAGAGAGAGAGGAGAGGAGAAGGGGAGAGAGGAGAGGAGAGAGGAGAGAGGAGAGGGGAGAGGGGAGAGGGGAGAGAGGAGAGGGGGAGAGAGAGGAGAGGGGAGAGAGAGGAGAGGAGAGAGAAGAGGGGAGAGAGGAGAGGAGAGAGGAGAGGGGAGAGAGGAGAGAGAGGGGAGAGAGGAGAGGAGAGGAGAGAGAAGAGGGGAGAGAGGAGAGGAGAGAGAGGAGAGGGGAGAGAGGAGAGGAGAGAGAAGAGGGGAGAGAGGAGAGGGGGGGAGAGAGGAGAGGGGAGAGAGGAGAGGGGAGAGGAGAGGGAGAGGAGGGGAGAGGAGGAGGGGAGGTCGGAGGGGAGAGGGGGAGAGGAGAGGGGGGAGGAGGAGGGGGGGAGGAGGGGAGAGGAGGGGAGAGGAGGGGGAGAGGAGGGGGGAGGATGGGGGGAGGAGGGGGGAGGAGGGGGGAGGAGGGGGGAGAGAGGGGGGAGGAGAGGGGAGAGAGGGGGGAGGAGGGGGGAGGAGGGGAGAGGAGGGGAGAGGAGGGAGGAGGAGAGGAGGGGAGGGAGAGGAGGGGAGAGGAGGGGGAGAGGAGGGGAGAGGAGGGGAGAGAGGAGAGATAGAGGGTAAGCCCACCAAACTGTTGGTGAGCATTAAAAGCATTAAGCATGCTAAACCTGCAGACTTATTTCTGCTTTAGTACTTCAACTACTATTGCCACTGAAACCAAATGGTGTGTACTGTGTTAAAAAAAAAAAAAAAAAAAAAAAATGATGATATCCACAAAATATTTTTCCCAGCTTTGGACACCAGAGGGCAACATCAAGTAACAGGATCTTGTGGCCGCATAAAACAGGCTAGAGATCTCTTATTTTGTACAAAAAAAAAAAAAAAAAAAAAAAAAGCAATATTGGACAATTTTCCCCCATCTTAAATGCATTCATTTGCTACTTACTGCCAACTTGCCAAATGCCATAAGGCCTTCTTACAGCAATTACAATCTGGCTTTTCAAAATAAACATGTCTTATTTTTTTCACGTTTTTCCACCCTCATGAAACTGGAATTCACCGTCGATAAAGTTCTTATCCAAGGGGATAACACTTTCCTTGCCTGTAGCCGACATCCTGTTAGCAACCAACACTACTGGCAGCTGCTTTTACATAAATGGCTGATAGCAATGATTAAATGATCAGCTAAATTTAGATGCACAGAATAAAATATGAATACAATGTCAAGAATCTCACATTTATTAAATGCAAGTGAGAAATATCTACATATTTGTGAATGTTATTGTTAGCATTCCTCCTTAGTTTCTGGCAGAGTGTGGCTGAAGATTGTCTATGCACTCAGGGCCAAATGTTTTTATTCAGTAGCAAACAAAATTCGGGAAGAGGTATGGGATTGCCTGGAGCAGCCAACACACACTAAGGAAATGATCTGTTTTTGCTGCACAGTTTCCTCCAGACTTATGACACCACTGTGCAGAATACAAGGTTTTAAAGGGTTTTTTTTTCTCCTTTACATGTACTAAAGGTCAAGATTAAGCACATTTCAGACAATTTCAGCTTCTCACACATATGAAGTGGTGGCAGCCAATCTCAGAGTGACATTAAATCCCACTTCACCCAAAATCTGACAGCCCAGTGAGATGTTTAGGGGAGCTCAGGCTGTTCATATGGTGATAATGAGCTCTTTCCATGTCAGACGCATTTGTCATTTCTCACAGATTTTCCAACTCATTCCACATTGGTACCAATCCTTCTATCATTGCTCCAAGAAAAACAGACATAACCGAGAGCACTACTACTACTTCCTCCTGTTGTGGGAGTCCCATGATATACTGTACATTGGAATCCACTAGACTACTTCACATTAGGCATACTTCTCCCCACCAGTTGTCTGCCTGCCTATAGCAAGTTTAGGGCTCATAGACATCAAATAAAAGTCAGAAGATCCAACTGCAATAACTGTTCCATAAATATGGATCATTATATCAATTTGCACATTCATTTTAAAAACAACTGTCAGCATTGTTCCTAAAAGGGGATCATTGAATAAACATTTTGGACCATTGATTGTTCCCAAAGAAGGATCAGGCAGGGTGTGTCTACAGGACAGACATACAATTGTTTCACTAAATGCAAATAAATGACCGCTTCATCAAGAAAGTGAAGTCTTAATCCAACCATAGATGGACCAAATTCTCGGACGGTTCGGCAGGGACCAGCTGCGATTAGATCCATGTACGGGCAAGCTGATTGGATCAACTTGGGTACAACCAGCGCATGTTGAATTTTTAGCATGCGATTATTGCCAGTGACTATAGGTGCTAGCAGTAATCATTGTATTCTCCCGGGAGGGACAGCTACCTGCGTCCTTCTGCCTGGAAAAGACAATAGCTCTGCGGGAGGGATTTAGTCAGTGTCGATGAGAGAACGAAGTATTTTCTTCAAAATTCACGTAATGTCCTGCCTTAAGCTACCCAGAGATGGATCAAAATTTCACTGGTTCTGCAGAAACTGGCCGAATTTCAATCCATCTATGATCGTTCCCACTCGACAGATGTTGACCTAATGATCTTTATTTTTTTTTTTTTTTTAAATTAGCCCACTGGCTGATCGGAAAAAATAAAATGATCCATCTATGGCCACCCTTAGAACAGTTTATTTTGACACATAACGAATGCGTTTTTTTTTTCCCCAAGGACTACTCGGTTTTAAGCATTTGGCCACTAGACTATTGTTCAATTATTGTCAGTGTATTCTCCTTGCTTTAGATAAAGGGAAACCACAGGCTGCTTTCAGAGATAAATCCTCTGTGAGCATAATATGGCTTCTTCTTATGAATCTGCCGCATACTTTGACAGATCAGGCTTTGCAAATACAAGAGATATGATATATACAGTAGGTCACCAGCCCCAGCTCAGTATCTACAAATGGCAGAAGATAATAGACTGTCAAAAAGGAACACAGAGGCCTAATTCAGCACTTTCCCCGTTAACCCTTAATGTACTGTACTTACTACCTTTCCAAATATTACCCTATATGGCAAGCCTGTGAACATCATATTGATGGTTTCAATGCAGTGAAGGTTTTATACTGAACCAGTCAGTAAAGGAAAATAAAAGTTTATGCATTCTAGGGGTTTGGAAAGGTCTCTGCTAGCAAAACATTCTGTGGGTGATTCTGTTCTCAACATGCATTCATCGATGGGCAGCAAGATAAAAGGCCACACTATGATTGTGTCAGGGCCAGAATTAATCACGCTTTTAAATGTCACTGGTCACAAATCTGCTATACAAAATAAATACAAAGCACCAATAATCTAATTTCAAGGCTATGCTTGAAATATAAAATAGAGAGTAGGCTTTAAATTCTAAAAGGCAAAAA